GATGATGGTGATGATGGTGATGGTGATGATGATGATGATGATGATGATGATGATGATGGTGGTGATGGTGATGATGATGATGATGATGATGATGATGATGATGATGATAGTGGTGGTGATGGTGACGATGATGATGGTGGTGATGATGATGTTGAAATGGATCCACTTTTTCATTTCTTGTTTTATTGCTTTGTACTTGTTCTTTCGCTATATCCAGGTTTCGGCAACATGTCGTATGCGTTGTGGTTCATTTAAGTAAATTTGACTAACTTGCTGATTGACTGGAAGCCGCATAATGCATTAAAACAAAAACTGCACCAATTTAAAGCAGGCTATGAAATCGAAAAGTATTTTAGTACTTTTTGTACTCTGAGCGGAAATATTTCCGCATTCACCGATAGTTAGAGAAATGAATCAGTTTCGAACTGCTGGAAGCACATGCGGGCGGCAACACAGACGCTTGTCACGTCGAAGTCGTCCCGGAAAGTTTCCGGAAACTGCACCGAACGATGCCCATCATCTTCCGGTTAACAGACAAAAAAAACTTCCAAAGAACAGCCCATAAAATTTTACAACTTCCGCGAAACTTTTTTCTTTTCAAGCGATCGATAGCTGAAATATAGATTAATAATGGTCATATCTTTCTGCCTGAACAACAGATTCTGGCCCGGTCGCCGGAAGCTGTAAAAGTTTTATTTTACTTCGATAAAATATTGTTTTATTAACAACATGCATGCCAATCTTCCAGCGACTGCGGAGGCTGAATGAAGTGATTCTGAAATCGAGTCGATGTCCTGGCCTGGAATGTTCCGAATAAAATCAAATGGCTTTCGGTTGAAGCGATCACGGAAGAGATCGTGGTGCAGCACCTCAGTACTGAATCACGAACGAATGAATATGGTGAACATGGAAGGTGTCACACGGTCACCGCCCACACTTGATGTTGTTAATGTCGAGTTCGACGTGAGGTGTTGGCTTAACCTCGCGTCATCAGCCAGCCATGTGTTGACCATACTTAATATAGCACCACGTAGCACTAGAAACTGATGCTTTTACCTGCACGTCAGCAAACCGCAGTATTCGTGCATAAGATTTGACCACATGTTTCTTATTGGGCGCAAAGCGTGTTGCATAAGT